AACTTTCTAAGCTACATAAAATGAAATCTTGATCAATTTGGGATGGGTTGACCATTGTCTCAAATGTGATTCTTGCATCTGTTTTGTTGGTCTAAATTTAAATCTCAAGATCCACCTTTTATTGTGTTGCCTTTAAAACCATTTCAATTAACACATAAATATCTTAGTTCTCATTTTATGTCATAGAAAGACTAATTTTATTGCTTATTGGCATATGTACTTTTTCTTTTGCCTATGGTGATTCTTTAATATTAGTAAGAAGTCCACCTGTGCTCAATGGAGGAATGGCATGAATTGTTTTAGTAGTTATTTCTCTACTAGTGGTTGGATTTGATTTTTTTTACCTTTATGTTCCTTAAGAGAAAATATCTAGCATCCATCTACAGAAGGGCATGGCAATCCCTGTGATTCGGGAGGTGTATAAGATTAATAATTGTGGTGGTTGCCATCCTTGTTAGATTACCGTGTCTCATTTTATTTTTCTGTAAAATTTAGTGCCAGATGAAATATTGATTTAGCACGTTTACATTGTTTATATTGATTACCGTTTCTCATTTTATTTTTCTGGTGTATAAATGATTTCAATCTCTTTGTTTACATTGTCTATGAGAAGCCAGATATTTGTCCTTCGAAAAGTTTTGTAGTGTATATAGTATTTTAAGTATATTTCTGTTTGAATATTACGGTTAATGGTTAATTTATCCTCTCTTCCTTTTCTCATGTTACTTTCTATAGTACAGGGTCAACTCTTCCAAGTAATGCAACGTCTAGAGAGCACTACTCAACATTTCATACGTTGTATAAAGCCCAACAACTTTCAGTCTCCTGGATCATATGAACAAGGACTTGTTCTGCAGCAATTGAGATGTTGTGGAGTCCTGCAGGTTGTTCGTATATAACGGTCTGGCTTTCCCACCAGGATGTCCAACCAGAAGTTTTCCAGAAGGTATGGAAGAGGAAATAATTTTCTCTTTTTTCAAAGGCAGAAGCATTTACTTTTATTTGTTTCCCTATTTTTGACAGGCTTGAGAGTTAATATGTAGTTGTTCAGCAACTGGTTCTTTTCCATTTCTTTTCTTATGGGTTTTGGCTGTTTTTGATTGGAAGCAGGGTTTTAAATAGCGGTCTGCGACCGCGATAGCACTCGTGAAATAGCGGTAGCATTGCTTTCCGATATACATGCTATACCCGCAATAGCGCCCGATATGGCCGCAATCGTGGTAAACACGACATGACCAAAAACACGACGGTGACGCGATTTGAATCCCTGATTGGAAGTGCTGGATTGTTTTGCACATTTCCTCAGGTATGGTTTTCTTCTAGTGGAAAATGCTGCCTCAAAAGATCCACTTTGGGTGCGTTTGGTTCACGGAATGTAAGATTACTAGTGGGAATGTAAGATTACCAGGTAATAAGATTACTGAGAATATTGTATTTTGTGTTTGGTTGGCTTAGCAGGAATGTAAGATTACCGTGTTTGGTTAAAGGAATAAAAGATTATTGTAATGTATATTTAATCAAATTGTCCTTATTATATATTTGTTTTTTTAACCAGTTGGAAAATATTTATATATTTTCTTTAAAAAATTTAAATTCATAAAATTCATAAAATTTATATACTTTTTTTTACAAAATTTAAAATGTACAAATGTTTAATGAAAGAGTAAAAAATTTATTTTAATCCCGGAACTTCATATAAAATTTTAATTATAGATTTTTTTGTAAATATAAAATAGTTTAAGGATAAATTTGTAATTTAATCTTCGTAGAATTTTTATTATTCAATGACAGAAGAAGGATATTTTTGAAAAAAAAATTTAAAGGCATTTTAGTCCAAAACGTCGATAATCCAACAATACCTAAGGAAAGGGAGGTAACGACATTCTCGGTAATATACCCAAAAAAATCCATTATTAGTAATCTTATATTACTAGGAATGAGATTCTCGGGCTAACCAAACGGGGGAATGTGAATTCCATTCCCATGAGAATCCCCCATTCAAACACCCCTTAGTGTTTCAGTTGCAATTCTTCATCAATTTAACATTTTGCCTAAGATGTATCAAGTTGGCTACACAAAATTGTTTTTCCGTACTGGGCAGGTACACAAAATTTTGCCTGGAATCATTGCCTATCAATGGTGTATCTCTTGATAGTAAAAATATTTGCAAAATTTGCCTTCTTATCTTGATAAATTGATATAACATAATTTATGCAGATTGGGATACTTGAGGATACAAGAAATAATACTCTTCATGGCATTTTACGTGTTCAAATCTGCTTTAGAGGGTACCGAGCTCGCTGCCACTTTAAGGAGCTTCGAAGAGGAGTTACCACCCTACAGTTCATATATTTCTATTTTCCATTCTATTGCTTTAAATCATATATGCAAAATAAGAAATTTTCAAAACTTGATTTTCTTAAATCTCTTACTGCAGTTGTCAGAGGAGAGAAAACCAGGAAAGAATATGCAGTCTTACTGCAGAGACATAGAGCTGCTGTTATTATACAAAAGCAGATAAAAGGCAAAAATGCTAAGAGAACATTCAAGAACATTAGTGATGCATCGGTTGTGATTCAATCAGTTATGCATTTACGTTTTCTTTCTCCACTTGAATTCTAAGTATAAACACGCAAAGCAATATACTGCTTTGTGTTTTCTTCAAACTGGACTTCAGAACTGGAGGCTTCTGGTTGCCACGGCAGGATCAATTTGAGGATGGAGATGTTTTTTTTTTATTTCAACTACTAGTTTGTTTATGTTAAGTATATATACATCAAAGTGCCCTTCTTCTACAATTCATGAGCAAGTTAAAAAAGAATTGTTGGAAGACATTTAAAGTTGTATGTAATTGAATGCAGTCCATAAGTGAATGTGATAAATTTGGTTTTGGCTGTTGAAGTTAGAAAGACATGGGAGTAATATACAAAGCATATTTAGGTTATACATATTTTCTTCTGTACAGCCGGTGTTTAAAAATCATGCCACTGATATTGTATGTATAGTTTAACAATTATATGTGCTCTATGCTGCAGCTATTCGTGGCTGCTTGGTCAGAAGATGTTCTGGAGATATTGGATTCAAGTCTGGGGTCTCTAAGGTACATTGACCGTCTTACTGTGCTTTATTCATAAATTTTACTTATGGTCCGATATTTATGTAATTCCTTATTACTATTTATCAAATTTCCCCGACATGCATCTTTGATCGTATACTGATGCTTGGAAATATTAAATGCCAACACTTCCAGAAATTGGCATTGAATCTCAAGCCCCTCCAGTCTTCTTGTTCTCTGCCATTTTTTTTTCAAAATTTTCTTTGTTCATTATGCAGTTCAGTCACTCTGCTCAGAAAAATATTGGCCAATCTTGAATGTTCTTCCAAATAGTTCGCAGACCAATCTGTCAATATGTTCTACGATCCTATTTTTTTCCGTTGATTCTTTCGTTTAACTGTTAATACGATCCTATTTTTGTTGTTGATTCTTTCCTTTAACTGTTTCAGTGTCGTTTTGACTATTAATTGTTATTCTAACCTGGACCCTACATGTTAGAATTGATTGCTTTTAGTTAATTTCGACTTTTTCTTTGAAGACATGTACTTTCATCCTTATATTATTTGCATTGGACAGTTGAGACACTATATTTTCTGATACAGGTGAATGAATCAGATGAATTGCTGGTCAAGTAATCATTTATTGCTGAACTACAGCACCGAGTTCTTAAAGCTGAGGCTGTTCTGAAGGAGGAAGAAGAGGAAAACTACATCCTCCACCAGCGACTCCTACAATACGAGAACTGTTGGTCTGAATATGAGCTAAAAATGAAGTCCATGGAAGAAGTGTGGCAGAAACAAATGAGGTCGCTACAATCAAGTCTCTCCATTGCAAAGAAGAGCCTAGCAGTTGACGAGTTGGAGAGAAGTTCGGATGCATCAGTTAACACAAGTGACGATAGAGAATACTGCTGGGATGAGGGAAGCAACCTTAAGGTCCCCGAGAGCAACGGATTGAGACCAATGAGTGCAGGTTTGAGTGTTATAAGCCGGTTGGCAGAGAAATTCGAGCAGAGGAGTCAAATTTTCGGCGAAGATGCAAAGTTCTTGGTGGAAGTAAAATCAGGGCAGGTAGATGCAAGCCTGAACCCGGATCGAGAACTTCAAAGGTTGAAGTAGATGTTCGAAACATGGAAGAAAGATTATGCATTGAGATTACGAGAAACAATGGTGGTATTAAATAAACTTGGAAGTGAAGAAGGTGCACTTGACAAGGTGAAAAAGAAGTTCTGGGGCAGGAGGAACAGCACCACGTACAATTAAGCCAACATATTATTACTAGTAGTTGGTCTATACTTGCTGTGTTGCCGTTAGCTGCTAGCTGCATATTTCTATTGGAAACCAGGAATGATATCATAGAGAGATTGCGAGAGGTTTGTTTTTTATTGTGCATACCCAAATTTTAAATAGGAAGATAGCTTATGTCCACAATGTTTGAGCATTTTCTGTCGTTCAAATACTGAATGTCTGTATCATGATAAAACCTTAGATTAATTGTCGCCGCCTATTTTGTATCAACTATTACGGTTTTTGTCCAATTTCTTCTTTTCGTTATCGTTCTTCATGTTTTCTCGTCACAATCTAGAATTTGGCAATCAACAACCGTTTATGTTGCCAACCACTGGTCATCAGTAATTGTGAACCCCTAATTTAGTTTCAAGATTTAAGAACAATTGGTTTGGGAAGAAAGGGTCTTGAAAGGGAAGAAAGTATCCCAAGCATGGTTGAAACTCAGGTCATTAAAGGTAAGTTGAGAATGGTAGCCATTGTAGTATGTTTAAGCTATATCTGTTATACTCTTTTGGCGTATGTATAAGCTAAAGTTGATTGACAATAGGCAACTATGCATTGTACAATTGGATTTCTTCATTAATTGTAGTCATTAATCTTCCTTCATCTAAACTTAATTGAAAAAAATCGTTTTACAATTGTAAGATTGACTGTTCTTCACAGTTCATCAACAAGAACAATTTGATGAAACATTTGTAAGCCACCTAGAAAGTGAATTGTAGCAGTACATCAGGTAGTAGTCTTTGAGAGATTGCTTGCTGAAGGTATTTGAAAGCTTTCTGATGATTCAAGAACCCCATAAACCAGAAATCAAAATCGTCTACCGTCACGATTTCCATGTACTTTTGTGATGGCTTCTTCATGTTTTCACTCTCATTCAGTACCTTTATTTTCTCAAGTGGAATCATAACCTGCATCAGAATTAACATACAACATGAGGATTGAAGGGTGCAAAATTAGACGGTCTGAGAGGGAAAACAAAACAGATGAAATATACAAACCTTGTAATGGACTCTGAGGAATTTGCCATCAGGAGATGGGATTTTGATTGATCTGTCACTGCAAAAGGCAACCTTTTGAGATGAGATGAAAAGTAAACCAGCCATGGGACCTGCTGTTGTTGATAAATAGCATTGGCATGCCTTCATAAGCTTCTCTCCTTCTCCAACACTAAACAATTGTTTGAATATCTTATTCACACCTCCTACTTGAAGAATTCTTACCCCCAAACTCAACTTTCCCTTCACAGTTTCACTGACCTTTGGCCCTAGCCTCGCTGCATATTCAAAGACAATCTCAGTTTTCATATACATACATTCATGCATACATGCTTATATATATGCATGTTTAGACTTTAGAGTGTATCATACCATGTCCTCGGATTCCATGTGCGAAAGTATCAGCCTTCTTCCCAAGTTTGTTCAACCCATTAAGTATGAAATTCCCTTTGCCTGAAATTTCACAACTTTCTCATTAGTATTATAAAACATATTCATCATGAATTTCTTAACCCATCACAGATTAAAAGGGAGCACCTACTTTTTCTAGATGTGTTGGACCCTTCAGCAGATGATGAAATCCGATACTGGCCGGCAATCTCTAGAAAGTATCGTCTTGGCCTTCTCTCAACTTGAGACATCGTCGATTTGATTGTAACTCCGATGACCTGATCAAGTATCTGGTTCTTCAATTTGATGAACGAAAAAGAAATCTTCTTATCTATCAGCTTCTATGATCAAGGAAGAGATGTTTTATTTTGCGGTGATTGATGAATCATTGGATTCTAGTAGTGATATTTAAAGGGATATAGGTATGGTGGTTGAATCTATCTTTTGTGTTTGTATGAGTCATCCCTTGCTCATCAAAAAAGAATAGAGATAAATATTTGAAGAAAAAAGATTTTATGGAAAGATCCTAACAGACATCATGGGTTGCCTTTTTTCTCTCTTGTTGCTAGTGTAAGAGTGTGGATTTGAAGCTTTCTGAGTTGGCATTGTAGCTTTCTGATGTCTTCCGCTACTTTAATACTAATATATATATATATATATAAATGTCAAGTTTCACCATTTGATCACCATTTTTCTATCAGTCGAAGGATGGTGAAGAACTGATAAGCAGACTAAATATGACCAAGGGGGGTCCATTTGTGATCAGAAGAAACCTCTTTTGAAATGGCAAAGAGGCACAACTTTTCTGATGTGAAAATGAGCATGCAGATTAAAGATAGCCTCAACTTGTTTTCCAATGCCCCAAATCCAGTCATTAAACTATGGATAATAAAGCTTTTACTTAACATAAAAGGAACACCTGGCTTATTTTCATCAAACATAAAGGAATGCACCAATGGATAAGTTTGGTAGTTTAATATTTGTAGCAAGACCAAAAACTACCATTCCCCACGTGATATGATGGCTTTAAGTGTCCAAATCCTTAATCTTTCAACAAAGTTTAGGTTAATAGGGTGGAGGAAAAAAATTGGTAATATGACACGTTTTATTATCGTTCTTAGAACTTTTAAACTTCACTTCTACAGTAGTCTCCAACAATTATTTATACAAAACAATGTGAATGTGATTATACTCCTATTCTATACCCAATGCATAAGCATTTCTTCTAAAACCAACTGACTTTTAATATATTTGTATATTAGGCATTGAACTTTTAAAATGCTTTAATTCTAGACATTGAACTTTAATTTGCTTATCGAAGAAAATCGACTAGTCCTCAAACCATCATCATCGATGTCATTTGCAGCAAGATTTGATTTCAAAAAGTTTGCATTTCATTTTTCTCATACTAGATTTGGTTTTCCACAAATGACAAAAATTTATCTAAAGAAAAACGAGAGGAACTTAAAATAATTCTAATAAAAAAGGAACTTTGAGGGTGAGGTAAAAAACCAATACCAATGTGAGAAATTTCCAGACCTTGACCACTTCCATCGCGGATTTTATCACCACCTTTGCGGTCATTGGCAATACTCAAGGCTGCCAAATTTGGATTAATATGAGAATTGGTTCCCGAGCCGAGTCAACTAGCCAAGCACCAAAGTAATCTTGTTGGCATGCAGAAGAGCGTTGTCGAGGCATTTGCAACCATAATAGTTTCGGTTTGGCTCATAACTAGGACGATATTGATTTGCAGTATGATTATTGAACTTGCAAATTTGAAAATGACCTCGACTGCGTCTAGGTGGGCAGTTCTATGTTGAAACCGGTGAGAAATAAAGTCAAAACTATTGGTTAAAGCAGTTCATATGAGAATGCCATTACAACGAGACGGTAAACTTCCTCTGATAGAGAACAAATAGTATTGGGTCGCAAAGGCTAATTTGGATGGTATTGATAACTGGCAGGAATTGTGTTTTCCATGCTAGATAGTTATTCTTTGTCAACTTAATGGAAAAATGTAGTTTGTGGTAGTTTTTGGCTGCTCGTCCCTTTTAGTTTGGATGAGACCCGCAGACGTTGATTCATACAAGAGAGAGAAAATCAGAAGACTGAGGGAGATAATGAACAATAGTCTATCAGATATATCGAGAGAGAGATCGCTTTTCCGGTGACTTATATACATATCCTTAGTGTTGGAGTAAGGTCTAGAATGATAATAACTATTTGTAGGTTGATAACATAAATAGATTCGGCTATCATATGGTAGATTTAGGATCACGTGGACCAGGTCATGTTCAGAAACTATAATTGATTGGAGGATATGAAATATCTTAGAGTTCGAGAAATTTGGAAGCTTCGATAGGTAGGGAATGGATTGTAGAAGATGTCCGATAAAGGTACAACCAAAACGTATGATGTGGCTTTGGTTGGCTCGTGATATGTATAAATTAATAAGAGATACATTTCACATATTAAATATGGCCATTAGCCAAGAATATATACATAGAAAATACAAGAGCTATTAGCTTTAGATAGAGCTAATCTTAACTAAATGTAATCCTAACAAACTATAACAATTTTACAAAATTTAAACAAAGAATTGTTTACCCTCTTCTACTCTCCGTACGCCAATATGTACCCGGCTAAGAAGATTTACAGGCGTGCAAACCCCTGAGACAAGGGGGCGTCCTATCGGTTGCCCTATAGTTGGTTCACCTCCAAGTCTACATTGCTGAGACTAGTACTATCGTGGAAGCTAGATGGCCTCCTATCTTTGTTTATGCAGTTCACTTCAATGAAACTGATGGTTTTCTCCATATTTCATCAACTAAAACATGTTGAATAAACTTAAATGTAATCCTTAATGTTTTTCTTTAAATTTAGAAGTTAATGGAAAAATAAAAGGTCTATGAGTTTTAGTAGGTGAAAGGCCAATGGGTGATATAGGAGTTAATTGTCTTTTATGAGTTTTAATAGAATTTATTTTTTGTTTTTGGAAGAGTAGTACCTAGTGCCTATATAAAGGACCTTGTTGATTTCATTTAAATACAACAAAAAGAAATACAAAATCACTTGGAAAATAGTATAGTAGTTGTGGGTTAATTTGTTTTCTATATTTTTCAAATTGGTATCAGAGCCAATGGCAAATGTGACGGGTCAAATGTCGCTACCACGACTAACGAAGGCGAACTACGAGAACTGGAGCATTCAAATGAAAGCTCTTCTCGGATCTCAAGATGCATGGGAGGTGGTCGAAGAAGGTTTCGAAGAACCAACAACAACCACGGGATATACGGCGGCTCAAACCAAGGCGTTGAAAGAGGCGCGATCGAAGGATAAGGCGGCACTATACATGTTATTCCGAGCCGTTGACGAGTCGGGCTTTGAGAAGATTGCTGGTGCAGTTACTTCAAAAGAAGCGTGGGACATTTTAGGAAAAGTGTTCAAAGGAGCCGACCGAGTCAAGCAAGTGTGTCTCCAAACTCTTCGTGGCGAGTTGGAAAACATAAAGATGAAGGAGTTGGAAAGTGTATCCGACTACATCACACGTGTACAAACCGTGGTGAACCAACTCAATCGTAATGGCGAAGCGTTAACCGAGGCACGAGTTGTGGAGAAGATTTTGAGATCATTAACCGACAATTTTGAGAATGTTGTGTGCGCAATAGAAGAGTCAAAAGACCTTGCGACACTCACAGTCAACGAGCTTACTGGTTCATTCGAGGCACACGAACAACGTAAAAAGAAAAAGAAGGAGGAGACACTTGAGTAAGCACTTCAAACCAAGGCGTTAATTAAAGATGAAAAGGTATTTTATTCTCAAAATTTTTGAGGTAAAGGTCGTGGCCGTGGAGGTCGTGGATATGGTCGCGGTGGTCAAGGCGACAGTCATGAAGGGTACTATAAGGAGAATGGACAGTCAAGCCAACCAAATTGGCGTGGAAGAGGACGCGGACGAGGAAGAGGCGGCCGATCAAATTATTCCAATATCGAGTGCTACAAGTGTTACAAGTATGGTCACTACGCGAAGGATTGCAACTCTGACAAATGTTATAACTGTGGTAAAGTGGGGCATTTTGCAAAAGATTGTCGAGCCGATAAAAAGGTGGAAGAAACAATCAACCTAGCCTTGGAAGATGAAGCGAATGAAGGCTTTCTCTTGATGGCTCAAAATGAATTCAACATCAACAATGACACTCTGTGGTACCTCGACTCGGGCGTAAGCAACCATATGTGTGGTCACAAGTACCTATTCAAAGAGATGAAAAAGATTGAAGATGGTCATGTGTCTTTTGGAGATGCATCAAAAGTGGAGGTCAAAGGCCGAGGTACGATTTGTTACTTACAAAATGATGGCTTGATAGGGTCAATCCAAGATGTTTTTTATGTACCAGATCTCAAGACAAACATTTTGAGTATGGGGCAACTCACAGAGAAAGGTTACTCGGCACTTTTGAAAGATCGGATACTACACTTGAAGGACAAGAAAGGGCGTATAGTTTCTCGAGTCGAGATGGGCA